CTGTGAAGCAGGCTCTGCATCCCTCTGACAAGAGGAGCTGGCCTCAGCTAAACAGCCAGGAACCATTCCAGCAAACTGGCTTGTATTTCCACTCTGCTGATAACATTTCTCTTTTAGGTGGTGTAGACTGTGGTGGGTATCTTTTCAAGCTTGAGGAACATCAGTGAGTACATGCCATCTGAATCCTTCTTGATTGCTGTTTGGTGTCCAGCATAGACACTGATGAGCCATGATGATCACCTAAAGCAGACTGCTCCCAAAGAGAAGGGATGGATCTTGGCAGACTGTACTGCCTCACCTGCTTTATGTTCTTCATGGTGCACATTTTCCCAGTACAGCCTGTTACCTTGTGCTACAGGCTTTCAATCACCTTCCAAGAACATGTATTATCTGTGAATGTTGTATCTTTTTTCACTAGTTACCCAGTGGCCCTTGGTCAAGTGGCTCTTCCCAAAGCCTGCTTCTTCAGCTTCCTTTGTTACTGTGTGCAATGTGCAGCCTTGCAGTCTTGCATAACTTCTGTTGACTTTTCAGCTGCAAATCATTGCCCACTGACTAACTGCAGTCAAGCTTCAGCATGCGGCTGCCTGCTTGGTTTTCTGTCATCACCAGAGCTCTCCTGATGTTGTCTCTGCATAGGAGAACTAATGCTACTTTTGTGTATAGCCCTGCATGCTTCAGTGCTCAAAAACACTGTGGGTATTTGCTCCCCACCAGTATCAGTATATGGCCCTGTCATGCAATGCTCCTCTTGATTCTGCTGAGTGTAGACAGCCATCAAAAGCTAGAAGGTTTTAAGCATTCTCCAAATTATGTATTTGACCACCTTGCAGGGAGCTCAATTATCTTCACCCCTCAGTTGCAGTGGAGACCATTCTTGAATATCCATAGAGAACTTCTGCCTTGAGCTTTGAAGAAGCCAACTGATGGGATGGGTGGAAATTTGACAAGTAGTAGAACTGCACAAAAGAAAAAAATGTCTAAAATTGGAAAACACAGAAGAACTGAGGAATCAAAAAACAAATAGTGTGCATTGGAAATTTATCCTGTCCTCATTTTTTACAACTGTGCTGGTACACATCTCCTATGTCTTCAAAGGGGCTTTGTGCCAAAGATCAGCACTAGACTTGGGGTATCAAAAGGCTGACTCTGAGAGCCACCCACACATGTGATCTACAGGCCACAGCTGTAACCCAGCACAGATCTGTTGGTGGAATGTTTTAGTATGGGCTTGACTGTAGCTTCTGCTCAGAAAGCATTTTGTAAAAGCCATTTCTTTCCTTCCTTTCTTCCTTTCTTTCTTCCTTTCTTCCTTTCTTTCTTCCTTTCTTCCTTTCTTCCTTTCTTCCTTTCTTCCTTTCTTCCTTTCTTCCTTTCTTTTTTTTTTCCCTCCCTTTCTTTCTTTTTCAACAGCAGGATATCCATAACTATTTAGTTCCTCATGACTCTTCCCCAGTCCAGTTCGATTCCTTTGTTGCTGATGTGGTGAGCAAGAGGAAATGTTTCCCATCCTATATTTGCATTCTAGAAATGACTTGACTAGCGTGATGCACATACAGGTGCAACCAAGTCGTTACTGAATCATACCATTCTTGTTTTTAATCTGATTGAGGACTTGCACTTGAGACCTCAGTGAACTGTTGGATTAGTCATGTAGTCAGTGATTTGAATACTGACAAAAGGAACAAGAGAGTGTGCTTGAATTAAAACAAAGCAAAGGATGGATCCAGCCTGCTTTCTACAGAGGAATCACCCATCACTGTTGGATGCTGCCTACTCTCCCCACCCTTCCCCTTGAGCCCCTGCCACTCACTCCTTTTATTTACAGAACTTTTAATTCCAGAGCTCTCCTCCCACGCTCTCCTCCCACTCTCTCCCTCCCACTCTCTCCCTCCCGTCTGTGGGATGTACAGAACCAGTTCTTCACTCCCTGCTGCGATCCAGCATGTCCCCACACTGCACTGGCAGTGCCCACCCTTCGTTCTTGTTCTTAGTTTTATTGCTGCTCCATCAACCCTGCCATTAGCGACTTCTCTCCTCAGTCACCTGTGCTTGCCCATTGGCTTCTCCCTATTCTTATCTCCGAATAAGTAAACTAATGTGGGCTTCTTCTAAGCTGAGTGCTCCAAGAGATATGGAAGAACAATAGCTCCTCGGATAAGCATTAAAGATTCAAGTGTTCTTGGCGAACCTGATAAAACTTTGCCTAAACAATGCATTTACAAACACGCAATGTGCATAGCAAAGGACAGCAATTAGCACAAAGTAAGGGCTGCCCCTAGCTCTGCCCTGTACCCCACACCCAGCCCTCCTCCGAGGGGAGATTATTTGCGAAGGACAGTGGTACCAGAAGCAAAGAAAATCACAGTTCTCTTTCATAAACCCTCTTCTGTCTGTGGATGCTTGGGCATCCTCGTGATGCAGCTGGAGGTGAAATGGGGCCCTCTCTGAGAAGGGACCCTGCTACCCTCTCCCAAAACATGTTTTATGGTTTACAGCCGACTGAAAATTGTTTATCCTCCCCACTACCCTGCACAGCCAACAGAATAGAAGGTGCCCATGCTGTTCCATGTGATGATTTTGCAGAGTCATTTCCAGGAAAAGTCTGGTAGAAGGGAGATCTAACTCATGGAAGGAGAGCCGGGTGTTGCATCTCTCTCCAGGAGCCTCCTGGATAGTTTGAATGGCAAATACAGGGATAAAGAAGCAGGGATGTCTGCACTGGACTACGAGTATTGAAAAAACTCAATGTTTGCAGCATCAGCTTGTTTTTTCTGGGGTCTGTCTGACACTAATATGTGTGTAATGATATCAAAGGAGTAAGAACAGCTCGTTCAAAGGCTGCTAAAGTGTGGTGGTGTGACTAAAGTGAGTGAGTGAAGAATTAATGTAGAAACGAACTGATTACACAAGCTGAGTTGAACTGTGAAGGTGCTTTTATTGCTGATGCTGGTGAGAAACGTCAGGTGTAGCATATGTTCGGCTCAGCCTTGAAGAAATGAAGACTGTATCCAAAATATAATTTAGCTGTATAAATTATAGCTACATTTCCAGTTCAGAAATAATTTTACACAACAACTAGCTGCTAGGTGTAGAAAGAGCCTTTCTTTAAGCAGAAGTGAAAGATATGGAGTCTGCCACACTAATGATTTGGGAAAAATCAAAATAGTATGTATAGCACATTAAAAAATTGAAGCTTTGTGGTAGTCAAAATTAAATCTGGCCATGAGGCATAGCAGATGTTGTCCAGTTGCTCATACCGGATGACAATATAGCAAATGAACCTCAGTATCAGCTGATGTAAACCACTACATACTACAGCTCTTTGAAAGGGAAGATAGCAGCAGGACAAAGGGAAATGGTTTTAAGTTGAAGGAGGGAAGTTTTAGATTGGATGTCAGGGGGAAGTTCTTTAATGTGAGAGTGGTGAGGTGCTGGAACAGGCTGCCCAGAGAGGCTGTGGCTGCCCCAAGCCTGGAGGTGTTCAAGGCCAGATTGGATGGGGCCCTGGGCAGCCTGGTCCAGTATTAAATGTGGAGGTTGGCGGCCCTGCCTGTGGCGGGGGTTGAAGATTCATGATTCTTGAGGTCCCTTCCAACCTGGGCCATTATGTCTGTGTAATATGTGATGTGAAAATAAATCCAAAGTATAGCTGTTCAAGTGTATAGGCACACATGTACCCCAGGAGGCATCAGTTTTATTAGCCAGAATGTCCCAGGAAGGAACCTTGGACTGACTGAAAAAATCAGTTCACACGTCTGAGGTGCTTGAAAGGTGAATAGGGAAATAGCAGAGAACACAGTAGAAAACTCTGCTCTATGCATATGCAAAGTGTAGGTGCAGCAGGTAGTGGGGTGCAAAAATTTGTGATGAGTGTGGTGAAAGTATAAAGCAGTTCCTGCATGACAAATGTTGAACAAATGATTCTTTAAAGATGGACTGATGGAAACTTGATGACACAAGTTGCTGCACTGGGGAGTGCATGGGGCAGAAGAGTAGGGGTTAGCCGTTACTCCTAGTGGTGGGGACAAAGCAGGAATCTGTGCTCTGTACAGACATACACTGTGGCACTCATTGCTTTACTGCCACTAGAACGACCCTTCCCCACAGTAGGTGAGCAATGGCTGTGTCTCTGCAGGACTCCTCTCTCCTTCCCACATCAAGCACTCTGTGCTACCTCCCACATTAAGGCAAGCAAAAGAAGATGAAAAGAAATAAAAGTAACCCTCAGCTTTACCACAGTTCTGGTTTGGCTATACATGAAAGCCACTACAGCAGCACCGAGGTGTGGATTTCTTTCGAGCATTTACATTTACCACTATCAAACTTTGCTATAGTTTTATAAAACAGAGTTGTCTGGTTGTTCCAGACATTTATTCTCTATTTATTAATGTTTAAAGATATTACACACCTGCCTGTTCCCTGTACTTACAGAACAAACTCACACGGGCGTTTTGCAGACCCACAGACCCACACAAACGCTGGCTTTCCATACTTTCTACCCACGCAAATTACTAGAACGAGCTTATTTATTTAAATCACTCCCGATGAAAGCGTCTCTCCTTCCAGACACGCCACACAGTGCAATACTCAGGACAGATCTTCACCTCAACGCACGAACACACCGTTTCCAGCGGTGCTTTCACGTCCCTAGACAAGACCCCATTATGCCTGCAGCCACAGGCACGGCATTCCACCACCGCTCAGCTGTTTCACACACAGCGCTGTTTCCCGGCAGGGCTTCTGGTCGCAGCGCCGTTAGAAGCGAGCCGAAGGCACCGTGCAGTCCTTCCCCGGGCGCCGTGCGCTGGGAGCGCTGAGCATCCCGCAGTGCAAGGCGAGCGCCGTGCGCTGCCACGCAGCTCTGTACCCACACCTGGCCGCCGGGCTCCGCCGCCAGCGCCCCACGGGCACTCCGGCCCCGCCCGCGGGCGGAGAGAGGCGGCCTCGGGGCGGGTTAAAAGCGGCGGCGGTGGAGCGGGGAGGGCTTTGAGAGCTGTGGGACGGCGAGGCTGGGACCGGCCGTCCGCTGGCACCGCAGCCCGGGACCCGCGCCGTGCCGCGCCGCTCCAGGTGAGGCCCGCGGAGGGCTGGGGCTTAGGGCGGGGATCTTCTCGTGCGGCGGGGTTTGCCTGGCGCCCCGCAACCGGTCGCAGCGTTTGTGTCGTGGGGAGGAGCAGGGGGGTCCCGTCCTGTCCTGTGTTCTTTTCTTCCTCCGCGACTTGCGGCTTCCGAACCGCGGTGTGAGTCTGCACCTGGAGCCCGGGTTGTTCGTCCCGCTGGGATTCGCCTCAGGTGGTTACTGTCCTTCGATAGTTAGCCCTATTTTGTTCGTTTTATTTCTGTGTTTTAATGGCTATGTGACAGGTGAGAGGAAATGCTTCACAGAAAGCGCAGTTATCTGACCGCAGCCGTGACTTTGGATCAGCATAAAAAGCTGCACAGAATGCTGCCATTCTGCAACGAGAACACAAGAAGCGTGAGGAATTCCAGCCGCCTTTTCGAGGCTTTTTCTTTTTTTCTTTTCCTTACCCAACGTAACCTTTCCTCATGACAGTAGACGTGACCTCTCCCTCCTGCCTGGAGGCCTGTCTGTACAGGCTGGGCCAGCGCCGCGGGTGTGTGCATCCCTCTCTGGTGGTGTAACTGCAGTGGGGTAAAGGAGTTCCTTCTCTCTCTTTTTTTTTTCTTTTGCTGTTACCTGAGAATTAGCAAATTATAAAGACTTTACCAGCCCGACAAAGCACGCTGCCTGCACCAAGAGGAGCAGGAGTTCTGGTCCAGAGCCTGTGTAGCTTTTCTGCATGGCAGATTGAGTCCTGCCCCTGGGAGATACAGGACCAGCTATGCAAGTTCCTGGCTGTGGATTTGAAGCTTTCAGTGGTAGCTTCCAAATGGCTGCTGAGCACTGAAAGCCCAGTCCTAAAACCAAGCTCTGCCTTCAGCAAAACTTCAGCTTAACTGTCAAAGGGTGAATGGTGAATTTCCTTCAAGAGCAGGAGGAAGGGAGAACAGAAATGGAACTCCTCTGATGTTTGACCTCTTATTTAACTGGGGTGTGATATCATCTAGGAAATCAGTGTAAACTTTTCGGCTGAGGGCATTATGCTCTCAGCCCTCTAGCTTGGCTAATCTCCTTTTTGGATGAGGTAGTGATGAATGTGGAAGGGCAGGCTCTGCAGAATTGTCCTGTGCCTGCTGATTGGTTCTTTGCATGTGCACAACCCTGACAGAGTTGATTTGAGGTTTCTCAACAGTGAAATCAGATGCTGTACTCCTAGAGATGAAGGCTCTGCCAAGTAAAGGATGTGTCTGAGCTGCAGACCTGCTGGAGACATCTGGGAGGAAGTAGGGCTTCTTTTGGAGATGGCCCAGTAGTCCTTGGAGGCAAGGCAAGAACCACCCAGCCTTCTAAGGCTTTGGCATTGGCAAAGAAATCCTATGAAAATAATTTGTTTTGTCAAGATTATTTTATATAATTATATCATTTTCTATAGATTTGGAAAGTGCACTGAGAGCCTACCACAGAAAGGGAAAGAGGGCTTGGGGGATGCAGGGAGGAAATGCTTGAAGGTATAACTTATTTCCTACCCAAAACCTAGTTAGAAAAATATCAAAGTATGCTAGTCTCATCATAAATATATGAATAGAGAGAGTCTAGAGTCTATTAAGCTGTTTGAATCCACTAACACAGACACAAATGTAAGGATAGACTTAATGTAACTTGAACTTGCCTACGCCTTGAGTGAATGCTAGGAAATCCTCTTACAGAAAGTTTGGAAATGATTCTTCGCTGCTTGGAAAGTAATTATTTAGTATTTTATGTCATCTTGCAGGTGAAAGAACACAGAAAAGAAGATGGATTGGGGAACTCTGCAGGCTGTTCTGGGAGGTGTCAATAAGCACTCCACCAGCATTGGGAAGATATGGCTCACAGTCCTGTTCATCTTCCGTATCATGATCCTGGTTGTGGCTGCAGAGAGAGTCTGGGGAGATGAACAACAAGATTTTGTCTGCAATACACTTCAACCTGGGTGTAGAAATGTTTGCTATGATCACTTTTTCCCCATCTCTCACATCAGACTCTGGGCCCTGCAGCTGATCTTCGTTTCTACCCCTGCGCTGCTGGTGGCCATGCACGTGGCTTACACCAGGCACGAGAAGAAAAGGCGATTTAGAAATGGTGACAAAATTAATATTGAAGAGCTGAAAAATGAAAAGATTCATATTCGAGGTCCCCTGTGGTGGACATATACCTGCAGCATCTTCTTCAGGATCATCTTTGAAGCAGTCTTCATGTACGTGTTCTACTACATGTACGACGGCTACCAGATGCCTCGTCTGGTGAAGTGTGATGCGTGGCCCTGCCCCAACGTAGTGGATTGTTTTGTGTCTCGGCCTACTGAGAAAACCACGTTTACTATTTTTATGCTTGCTGTATCTGGGATCTGCATGATGTTGAATCTGGCTGAGTTGTGTTACTTAGTGCTAAAAGTTTGCCTGAAAGATTCTGGGAAAACAACAGTTCTAAAATAATTCCTCAGTTCCATGATTGCTTGGCTTCCCAGGTCCCTTCAAAATTTACTTAGGCGTCAGAAAACAATTGGCAAAAGGATAAAAACAAAAGGGCATTTTTTTTTTTAATGATAGCCTCCCTAGGAAGCTGCCATTGAGGCAGGTTTTAAGATCATGAGCTACTTTGGTATTCCTGTATCCACAAATAGAGAGATCAGCCTTCTTGGCTGCACCTTTTTCAAGTATGCTTCCTGCTGTGATGGTCACTTTTTGAAAAGTGGGAATGAGAAGCTCTAGTGCCACACAGACAGAGGGATTGCAAACAAATTGCACCAAATGCTTGTTGCCAACGAGGCAGGGCACTGTGGTTTCCTGCTCTTTTTCTCCCCAGCGTTCTGTGAAGAATCTCAGTACGGTAGGTTTTATTTGATGATGAGACTTTTTACTCGACTGGGCTTCCTTCAGCAGTGTTTTTCTGTGTGTGTG